GTCGCTGTAGGAACCCGGCGTAGGCCTGTGAGCGGCCGAGCATGGAGGACGACGCGCCGGTGATCTACGGGCTGGAGTTCCAGGTGGGTCACAGGAGGACCCCGCGACGTCCCGCAGTGTGCAGAGCGGGGCCCGCGCCGGACCTCGGGGCCCGCTGTGCAGCCTGAGGACACCGAGGCTGCGAGGAGCTGAGTGACCTGGTCACCAGGACGGGCCCTGCCCGCGGCCCCGGGCTGGGCAGCCCCGCCGCCTCCTCCGGCCGTGGCGTGCGGCGTGCTTCTCCCCGCCTTCGGTGTGCGCGCTAGCGTGCGGTTTCCTCCCGCGCTCGGGTCCCGGAGGCGGGCGCTGTGTCTGCTGTATTTTGGTTGTTTAATTTCCACACAACGTTACATTTTCCCAAGAGGTGCAGAGGTACACGGCAAGTTCTCGTGTACCCTTCCCCCAGCTTCCCCCAGTGTTGGCGTCTCACGTGACCGGGCACAGTGATCGCAGCTTAGAAATTAGCGTTGGTGCAGCCCTATTACCTGAGGTACACACTCCATTCGGATCTCACCCGTCTTCGCTCTAGTGGCCTGTCCTGTGTTCTCCGGGCTTGCTCACCGTGGCCATCACATAGTAGGTGCTCAGCAGAAGACGTGCACGACGCCCGCAGTGTGAGCAGTGAAGCGGGCGGTCGCATGGCCTTTTAGAAGGGCAGCAAGAAAGCCTGTGCGCACAGTGGGGAGAGGGGGTTACGGGGCGTGGGAGGAGCGGGCGGGGCAGGTAGGTCGCATTGTGGGGGGCCTGCTGGAGCCCTCTTCTGACGTCCGTGTCCATTCAGATGGCTCCTGAGGACGTGTTATGCGTAGGCCACTGAGGAATAGGTGCAGAGAGATGAAAGCACAGTTCATTCATTGCCTTAGGAAGTACCCGATACCTAACTGGGTGCAGCAAATGTGTGTTAAACATATGAAAGACCACTGCTTTCAAGGAGCTTACGGTGAGAGAAGACGCAGTGCTCCGTACTGAAGCCTTGGCACCACTGACCCTCCTGAGGGGGTCAATCCAGGCTTCAGCACTTAACAGCTGTGTGACCTTGGGCCTCCCTTTCCTTGCCAATAAAATGGGAAAATGAGCCTGTATTCCTTCTGGCTGTTATGCGAATTAAATGAATTAATACATTTAATTCAGGCACTTAGAATACTGCCTTCTATATAATAAGCATTCAACAAATGTTCTAATTATAATGAGACAAAATTCTTACAGATAAATTCCATATAATAAGGCAGGGTCTAAATGTCCTATGAGTAGTGAGCTGTGCTACAGGGTGTGGCGGTGGGCCTATCACACAAGACTGGTGCCTTAACTACCCATTGCTGAGAATTTAGCTGTGTGTTATGCTTAGCACTGTACATATATTTCATTTAATTCTCGTAGCAGACATATTGGTCAGGTGTTATTTTTCCTGTGGTCCAAGATCACTTAGTAGATTATAGACATGGGAGTCTAACCTCAGTAGGTTTAAATCCAAACTGACTTCAGAGCCCAACAACCACAAAGTTATACTGCTTTCTGTTTGAGAAGGGGTGCATGTGGGTGTGTCCAGAGGGTGCCTGTGGGGAGACAGAAGGTGACCTCATGCTGCCTGAAGTGTGCATCTTCCTCCAATGTACCTAAAGCTTCTTGATCTCTTTAAGCACTCTCCTAAGCAACCCAGAGATTTTGATCTTCAGTCTCAGAGCTTTGAGGTAACCAAAATGTTATTTCCTGGGATTTGACAGATTTATGGAGTGGATCTGTACCTTGGGCATCAAATATTTTATCTGAATTTCTTCCTTATCTCAAAAGAAGTAGCTGATTGTTTTACATTTTTACTTTAGATAGCACTGTGGGCCCTGACTTCCTTGAGTTTGAAGAACCATTACTGCAGGAAACATGGAAAGACTGAGAGTTAGTGAGGTTGGGTCGCCGGTGACGTTCAGAGTGAGGGGAATAGTGTGCTAGCACTAGAAGGTGGGGCTCTGACTGATGCCCATCGTTGGAAGGGGACAGGCTTGGAGGGCAAGTGAGGTACTTCTGTGGCAAATAAAAGGCAGAAGATCGACACGAAGGGTCATTAAGGTAAAATGCTGAGCACCTTAGTGGTTATGGGAATTTTGGTATTGGATGACTGGCATCTTTTAGCTCAGAGGAAGGAACTTTTGACTTGTGCTCAGGATTTTAGTTTGTATTATTTTTGTAGATTTAATATTTGTAAAAGGTCAGGTAATTCTTATGAGTCACTTGAGAAGTCAAATAGTTGAAAGGCTGATTCAAATCATGAGGCCCTAAACCAAACACACCCTTTTCACCTTACCTGATTTCCTGAGAACAACTACCTTCAGCTTTTTAAAAACTAGTCTTTACTTTTCTTCTAGTCTTTACCTACCCGCTTCGCATCTTGGGCATAACCTGATGACTAGATGTCATGTCGCATGAAGAATTTCAGCTTTTTTTGTGCTTTCCCTCTGCCAGCCTTTAGACTCTCACTATGGTTACATCACAATGTTTTGCCAAATCCATATTCAAGTTTTTGCGTTTCTCATTATAGAAATGTTGGCTGCTGAAGCAAGCAGGGCACTGTGATTTCATGTTTTTCTTGTACAGCTCTTCATGTTTTGCTTCCTGTAGTATTAAATGCTTCCTTTTGAATTTGTTCAGGTTTCCTGGTGTCTCCCTGGTGAGCCTGGACATTCCTGCCACAGCTCTGTAAATGCTGGGCCCCGTCTTCTCCCCTGAGCCTGGCCCTTTGGGCTGTCAGTCCGCTGGTTCATCTTCCAGGAGACGTCCCTTGGGGGGGTCCCCTCCCTCGGGGGGGTCCCCTCCCCCTCCCCACCTTGCTGCAGTCACATCTGCTTTCTCACAGAACCTCTAACCCAGCTTTTCTCCTGCATGGAGTTTTGTTTTCTGTTGCAGTTTTGTTGAGTGGACAGTCACATGACTAATGATCACGGCAGCCCTGGGCGTAGGTATTACTCTTTCCTATTTTAAAATTGAGGACACTTGGGTTTAGAGCCTTGAAACTTCTTGTGATTTTTAGAGAAGCTGGTTTAAGGCCTGGCTTCCCCCAATCCATCCTCTCTTGGCTTTGTGAGGCCTTTTATTCAGAGCGAGACCCTCTGGCCCTGTGTGTTCAGGTCCTTGTTTAAAACGGCGATGTTGTCAGAAGCAGACGTTCAAGGGTAGATCTCCCCTTCCTCCCAGTGGACTGAGGACTAGATACAGGTCGTACTTCTCTCCTGTCCCCTACCCGGTACACAATACCTGCTTGCCGAGCCACTGAGTCAGCCCGGGTAACTGGGAGATGGGAGCAGGGCCGCCTAAACAGCACCTGGGTACTGCCGGCCTCCAAGCCTGCATCCTGGTGTCGAGCCCACGGGCAGCTTAGCACGAGGTCTAGTATTGCTATTCAGGTATGTGACAAAGGATTGTTTCCAACGGAATGTTATACTTTTGCTTAAATAGTTAAAGGGAATATAGAAGAATGTTTTTCTGGGAAATAGGAAGGCTTGGGAGAAGCCCAGAGAGTTCAACCAAGTGAAATAAAAGTTTAATGTCACTTTGGAGCGTATTTGGACGCTTTGTTTCATTATTTATCTGTCTGTTTGTGTTGCGGAGTTAGCTAAACGTCTCAGGCATGGTTTTGGTTACAGCTTACTGACTTGCTTGCTTTTCTCTTTTTTATTTTTTCCCCTCAAAATACATGTGGCTCAGGATGGCTATATATGTGTGTATGTCTGTGTGCATATGTGTGACTTACATATGTATATGTAATAACTCATGCATGGGCTGGGCTCACCCTTACCCTTGTCCTCGCGCGAGTCAGCTCCTGCCCCCTTCTGGCCGGTCACAGCTCCTGGCTCTTCTCGCTTTTTGGTTCTGGTGAGGTTGCAGAGTTGGGGAGAGGGGAAGTGGGTGTAGGGTTGGAAGGGCGTCTCCACCTCCTCGGGCACTCTGCAGTCCTGGGCTGGGAGTGAGAATCCATCAGGCAGGTTTCCCTGCCTCCATTTTCGCCGGGTTCTGAAGAGCCGCCACGGTGAGCATTGCAGTACTCGGCTCCCCACCCTCTGCCCTCAAGAACGGTTGCAATCTGCTTGAATTTTCTTAGTGGTTGCCCTGGAGGTTACAGTTAACATCTTACTTTGCAGCTATTTGGATTAATACTAAGTTAGCTCCATTCCCTGTGAAATGTTGGGGCAAGGTATTGAGACAGGGACCATGGGTGTAGGACCTGGAGCCCGACCTGCAGAGTCAGGATTTGCGTTCCGTGAGCTGCCTGGGCGATTTGCTTGCATGTCAGAGTTTGAGATGTGCTGTTCTAGGTGATGGGACACTTGCTCTGAGAGCTGAAGGACAGGTTTGATAGGGGAGAGTGGGAGGAGTCCTTAACTTGCGTGTCAGAATTCTGGGGTCCCTTCGTAGGTGCTGGGTGGTCAGTAGATACTCTGGAGGAGTGTGTGACTATTTGGGGGTTATAATGTCTTGAGAGTGTTCCTGTGTTGGGCAGAAGAGTGGACTAGGCAGTCTCTTGAGGCTTAGCACCCTGTGATTCCACACCAAGAGGTCGTTAGTAAAAATACAATGAATTTTAGCCACTGAAGTTAAGATGCAGGAAACGGAGTAAAGACTTAGGCAGATTTTTCTTAGTTAGACTTGTTTAGCCAGTGTGGACAAAGTGAAGGTTCCTGTGGCCAGGATTCTTACCTGGCTCTGGTCGGCTAGCTCACTACACACGTGTGGGCAATGCATTGTTATTGACTCTATATAAAGAGCCCTGCCCAGTGCTCTGGGCGACATGATGGCACAGCTGCAAGGCTGCAGGAGAGCAGAGGCTGGAGTGGTGGCAGCGCTGAGGACAGAGACTGGGACGGCTGTGCTGGCAGAAGGGCCTAGAGACAGAGACCAGCTTGCTGCGTGCTGACTCGCTCTTGAGTGAATGGGATTCGAGTGGTTGACCTGCCACTGAGGAAATAAAGTTGGGTATAACCCTTTCACCCCGAGAAAATTCTACTGTCATTTCTTCAGTCACATTGAATCCACAGTGACTTGCCCGGGGCTGAGACCC